AGGCTGAGATGGGCATTCTGCAGCCCAGGCTGAGATGGGCATTCTCCCAGTCAGGAATCATGCTCTTTCCAGCCACAGCTGCCTGGAGGAGGGGCTGAAAGCTGTGAGAAGACACTAGGAGACAGGCCAAGGGTCAGGAGTGAGTTGGGGACCAGCAAAATAGACAGTATAGACCATTAAATGGCAGCTGGATATCCAGGGGTCTGGATCCCTGGAAGTGAGGAGGGAAGGGGTTTTGAGAAGAAGTAATAACGTCAGAGAAGAAAGGGAAGGCTGGGAATATAGAGTGCTTGCCTAGCATGAATGAGGCCTTAGACTCAATCCCCAGTACACACACACACACACACACACACACACACACACACACACACACACGCGTATGTATGTGTGTATACATAATATACATACAAAAATGTATATATTACTTGCTATTCTTGGCAAATCTGTGACAAAACACCTGTCTGTAGCAACTCAGAGAACAAAGGCTAGCGGGCTCATGGCAGGAAGGCTGTGGTAGCATTCGTGGAGATAGAAACGCCTGACAGACTAGGTCAGACTAGGAAGCAGAGGGAGAGAAACTTAGCCCGGAACTAAGACAAACTAAGACTCATAACCCAGTGCATGCCGTGTGTTTGCATACACTCAGACATTAGGGTTCTTAGCCTGGTGTGGTGGCATATGCCACTGATCCCAGCACCGTGGGGTTCAGAGCCCAGCCTGGGCTACACAGGAAGACCCTGTCTCAGTCCCCCATCCCCCCAGAAAAGGAAAGAGAAAAAAGGAGAGAAGTGGAAGGACGGGGGTGGGGGGGCGGTGGACTCAGCAGGTGAGTCAGGAAAGTGTTCTGGCAAGAGGCGGGGTCGCTCAGGGTGCGCCCCGAGAGAGTGGGAGGGAACTGTGACAGCCGGACTGTTTCTCCCTGCATCTTCATCTGAGCCCTTTTCCAGGAAGTTTGTTCCCAAGAGAAGGGGAAGGAGGGAGGCTGCTTCCTTGAGATGTGAGCTTCCGGGAGGTGACAAAGAGGGGACAGCAAGCCTATCACTGCTGGAAGGGTGTCCAAAGAAGGAGAAAGGGACACGGCCAGGGACAGCTGGGGCGGGGGGGCAGCAGGATACAGCCACCAACCTCTGGGTTGCTCTAATTGGCAGGTGCTTCATGCCCGAGGCCTCATTTGTCCTCCTCACCAAACTCCTGTGCTCAGAACAGTGGTCTCCATTTCTCTGAGGGGAAACTGGTTGGTAGTTAATTATTCGTCCCTTCTCTCCCTGTAAGGCATCAGAGGCCCAAACACCAGACCGGGTTTTTGACTTCCCACTGGAGGGAAGACAGAGGAAGAGCGCTGAAAGAGACTCAAAGGTGGGGTGGGGAGAGGTTCAGAGAGCTCAGCCACAGGAAGCCACAGGACCCCGCAGCAGATGGCAGCCCAGTGTGGCGGTTACTGTGTGACCTTCGAGCTGGGCTTTGTGCTTTGGTGCAGACCTTCGAGATAGTTCTTAACCCTCCCGCTGTCTCTGAGACCCGAGGAAAGAGCCACTTCTGGTTCCAGCTACTTGCAGTCCCGTTTGAAGTGTAGGCCTCCTTAGAAAGCGTTGCCTCCCCACGTGAGAGCTTGGCTTTGATCCCCAGCACTGTGCGGCACACACCTGTAATCCCAGCAGTCAGGAGGCTGAGGCGGAAGAATCATGAATTTGAGGCTAGCCTGGGTTGCGTAGCAAGACGATGATCCCTGCCCCCAGCAACAAACAAACAGAAACAGGGAAAAGGTCTCACATGGTTTCTCCGGTTCGTCTTCTGATACTGATCTCGGTCTGTGAAGCGAGGGTCAGCGCAGCCCCTTCGCGCTTCGAGAGAGGGCTCGTGGCTGTGCAGCGGGGCCACTCCACAGAGTCTGATTACCATGCAATTGGTGTGTGCTGGAAACTGTTCTTTCTGAGTGCTGCAAAACTCTCATCTGTGTGTGCGTGTGCACGTGTGTGATCAAGGAGGACGGGTGTGCATCTGTAGATGACACAGGCTTATAAAGTTTTTGTCCTCTTCTAGAGAGAACGAGCATCTTTGGTAGACTCCTTTCTGAGTCATGCAGCTGGGACTGTAACCCAAGCAGCCGGGCTCCTTTGCTTTACCCCAAGGGAAGCAACCGGAGGAAGGAAGGCGGGGTCTGACAAAGCTGTGGAAGGGTGGGTCCGCTGGGCCCTGTTGCCTGGGTGCCTGTTGCGTTCCTATTTCTGCTGACTCACACTGCCCCCTCTCCTCCAGGATCCTGCAGGGGGGCTTGGAAGTGGAGCGGCTGTGCCTCAGGAATTTCTACCATCATTTCCACTCCAAGCGAGGCATGTGGAACCGCCGCCAGGTGAAGATGCCGTGACCCCTGGGGACAGCTGCTTACGACTCCTCCTCGACCCAGCGCTCTGCCTGCCACTCGCTCCAGGAGGGAAGATGAGGAACCGAATCCTCAGCACCAATCACCCTCTCCACCAGGAGCTGTCCCTGCTTGCAGGGCTGAGCGCCCAGGCTCCTCGGCCGCCCACTGGGTGGACATGGGGACCTGCTGCGAAGGATGGCCAGCAAGGTCAAGAAGAAAACACCTGCCTGAGCCGAATTCCGTCTCCTCCACAAACGTGCCTCCCTACAGCCCAGTGCCCCTCACAGGGAGCGTTGACTGTGAACCAGAGACTTCAACGGGACAGATTTTATTTGGGGTGGGGGTGGGGTGCGGGAGATGGGTAATTTTTAACAGAGAATGAAGACTTCTGTCTAGACCCAGCATTCACTGGGGCGAAACTGCGCTGCAGCCCTCAGACCCCCAGAGGTGCTGGTCCCGGCGAGGCCGTCCAGTCTGTGCCTTCTAAACGTACGCACCTCTCCCGGTGGCCACTGAAGAGCTGGCTACCACCTGGGGCGTTAACCCAACTCGGACCGATAGAGGGTTCTCTAGACTGGCAGTCCCACATTGGTGACATCTTCCTGCTGCAGTGGGGTGTTGTGTGGGAATGGGTGGGCAGTGGGCCCGTTCTCCTGAGGGTCCGACATATGGACTGTGTAGGACCAGCAAAGACAAGCAGGTAGAGAAATGCCCCTTCACCTCTGTTTGCCTGCCAGGTAAGACCTGGAGAGAGTAGGAAGGCACCACCAAAGGCGACATGGAGAGCCTGTCAGCTGCGCAAGTGGGAACTTGTGAGGGGCTCAAGACAAAAAGGGAAGAAAGTGTGTCTGCAAGCCTGGTGCACCTCTGGCCTTGCCCTTCTACAAAGAGAGATCTCCAGGCCCCAAGAGGATTGAAGAGACGTGGGTGATGCCTGACTATTGGATAAGGGGCAGGGTGAGGTCAGGGAGGCCAGGACAGTGGCAGGAAGAACAGGAAGATGGCTGGTTCCGGTTAGAACAGCGGTAACCTTTTCTGTCTTTCGCTAGGCCTTCTGTCACCTGACGTCACATTTACCTTGCACTAACTACCCCCGTGCTCTCTGGCTGGGGACTTTCTACTGCTGCTGCTGCTGACCCACCAGTGGCGCATCGGGTGCTGGGTATTGATCTTGGTCTGTGAAGCGAGGGAGGGTCAGTGCAGCCCCTTTGTGCTTCGAGAGAGGGCTCGTGGCTGTGCAGCGGGGCCACTCCACAGAGCCTGATTACCATGCTGTGAATCAAGAGTGCAGCATCTGGAGCTGCAGGGCCCACATGATGGGCTCTGAGTGCCAGGAACAGAGCTCGGCACACCGGGAACCCCCTGGGCCTTTCCTTTACGCAATCTGAAGGGCAGGGTGGTTTCTGTTCATGGGCTGTGTCTTTCTCTCATCCCTGCCCAGGCCCTCTGCCCTTTCAAAAAGGCACATAGGAAGTAGGCTAGGGCTGCAGTCGAATAGCTGGGGTGCCAGGACTCTCTCTAAAGCCATGGACTCTCAGCATCGTGCTGTAAGGCCGGGGCCAGTCCCAACAGCCCTCCCCTTCTGCTTCTGAGGACTAGGAGCCCCCTTGGCCTTCCCCACCCTTCTTACCACCTCCCTCTTGGGTCCAGTGCCTTGTGTTTGATGTCTGTTACCTCCTTACCATCTGCCTTAAGGGAAAGGAAAATGCCATGGGTGGGGACAGGGAGGAGGGCATTAAAGTCAGCATCTTAGAAAATCAACAGCTGTCCTGTTGCCCAGTTGTAGTAAACGGGTTGGCCAGGAGAGCCAGGGGGCTGTGTTTCCCGTCCCTCAGCCGGCTGCTCACTGACAGGCCACGTACCTTCTGTTCATGGTTTGGTGCTTTCGGGCAGAAGGGACAAGCTTTCTGTGCTACACTGCGCTTGGAAGGGCGCAGCTCTGTCCTGGCTGTGTCTCAGCAGACCAGCTTAGTGGAGGTCATGGTCTTGGCTAGAAAGGCTCCTCCTCGAGTGAAGGAGGCAAGTCAGAGCAGTGCAACTCCAATCCCAGCATTTGGGAAGCCGAGACAGGAAGATCGGGAGAGCAAGGTCAACCTCGGCTCCTTAGCAAGAAGCTGTCAAAGGAAATAAATAAATAAAAGAAAACCTTTTCTGTGCAAATTGAAGATGCCCTGTTAGTGTGGGTTGGCCTGCCTAGTTAGGTTTGACCTAGGCAAAAGTTTTCAAGATTTTATGTGCGTGGGTGTTTTTGCTTGTATGTATATTTGTGTATCACCTGTGTGCCCAAGGTGGCCAAAAGAGAGCATCAGATTCCCTGGAACTGGAGTTACAGATGTCCTAGGTCATCAAGTGGATGCTGGGAATTGAACCCACATCTTCTGGAAGAGTAGCCGGTGCTCTTAACTACTGAGCCACCTCTGTAGGCCTGCCCCACTCCACCCCACCCCCGCTTTTTTTTTTTTTTTTTTTAATCTCAGCACTCCAGAGGCAGAGGCATGTAAATCTCTGTGAGTCTGAATCCAGCCTGGTCTACATAATGAGTTCCGGGTCAACCGGAATTACGTGGTGAGGGCCTGTCTCAAAATGTGCATGCACGGTGCACAGTTAGGCCAGAGGGCAGCTCTCAGTAGTCCGTTCTCCCTCCACACTCCAATGGGGTCCTCGCATCTGGCAGCAAGTGCCTTTATAGTCACTAACCGTCTCACAGGCTGAGAACTTGCATTCTTAAGTGTCAGAGGCGCCATTAGTGAATAGTAGAATATGTTTACAGTAGGTTCTTTTAAAAGCTTGTGTGTGTGCGTTCATCAGTCCAGAATTCAGTGACTGCTGATGTACAGATAAGCCTTTGCAAAGACAAAGATAATGAGGGTGTCCACACAGAAGACGGCAAGACTAACTTGGTGGATTTTCAGATGTCTTTATAGATAAGAGTCCCTTTCTGCAAAAAGGGAATATTGAGGCCTGGGGCAGAGGGAAGGAATGGAGCGGAACCAGAATCTGCCTTAGCAGCCCCGGTTCCTGCTGCTGGCGGAAAGGGTGGCTGCTGCAGAGCCTGAGCTCAGGCCTCCAGACCAAGGGGCGCTGACATCACCCAGTAAAAGAGCGTTCAGGCAGGAAGCAGGCATCTTCATTGCCCTTGGAGCTCTCCTGGAGGCTGCAGAAAGTGCTAGGGACAAAGGCTGAAGCAGCTCCAGACACAGCCCCTGCGGGGGGAAGCAAACCAAAGATAATGGGAGGCAGAGCCTGGTAAGGCTCCTCACACTGGATTCGCACCCAGTCCAGCAGCTGAAGTAAGTGAGGAATGGCGTGACTCAGCAGCCCTGGAGCGGGTCGGAAGTGCGGCTTCCAGCCACCTCCTAGGGAGCATTGTGGAAGCTGCTGCCTGCTCCTGGTGGGAGCAGCGAGCACCGCTTGACAGCAAGTAGAAGCCACAGCGCCATCTTTTTCTTGCCATCAGGCCACAACAGCCACTAACCACATTGGCTTTTCAACCCATCCCAAGCTTTGGGGGTGGGGGAGGCATGATACACCTTTCACCCTTGCTTACACGGGAGTAGAGGGGGGGGGGATTAAATCTAGCCTGGGTTACCAGAGACACTGCCTGAAAGCAAACAGCAGAAGAACGGAAGGATAGTCACCCCTTCAGAGCAAAGGCCTCAGGACAGGCCTAAGTCCCCCTCATGGTGCATGTGCAGGTTCTGGGAGGCTCGAACTGAAAGCCCAGCACTCACGGTGCACATTACCGAGGGAGGTTGGCACCTGTGGCCCTCGTGATTTATTTACTGTGCCTTTACATGTCACTCAGGAAAGTGCTGTGAGAGGCTCAAGCCCACACCTCACTCATGGCGCACGTACTGTGGCCAGCTCAAGGATGTACACGGCACATGGTGCCTGCGCCGTGGGAAATTTACACGTGTCTCTCCCCCCGAGGTGCCATCAGCTATTCCTGGACTCCCTTGCCGACAGGCCTATAGACCTTCCCCCTCTTGCTCCAACCTCCAGAGACAGAGGAGGTTGTTTGTTTGTGAGCCCTTGGAATCTGAGGCCCTCTGGGCCTGCACCTCACCTGGGACCTAGGGAGCCACTAGATAGGATTGCTGGAGGTCCTGGCAGCCACGGAGCCTGCCTTGTGTGCCCCGAAAGCAGTGATGAAAACGTTGACGACGACAGTGATGAAGACCAAGGTGGTGGCAGCGTTGTTGAGCTGGTTTAGGCGCCACTGCTTTTCTGGCTTGTTCAGGTTCAGCCTGGCTGTGGAGACAGGGAGATGGCGATGGGCGGTGGATGGCGCCTGGGTTAGGGTCGATCGAGCAGGACCAAAGCCTGGGGCTTTCCTCTCCCCACCCCTGAATTTGGAGACAACGTGGCTTTAGAGACCTACCGGGAAGAAATCAAGTCACTGGACAGAAATGTGTTTGGGTCTTTTGACATCTACGTGGTGATTCGTAGAATGGGAATTGGGAGCAAAAACATCGTCTAAGAAGGAAGGCGCGCTTGCGATATAAAAGATGGAAGAAACTGCCAAGGAGGGCCCACCCATGGCATATGAGGAGACGAGACAGGGGGACCCTCATTTTAGGCTCTGGTGTAGAGAGTGCGGGCTTTGTTAGGAGGTGGCTGGGAAGTTTCTCGGGCGATGCAAGGGCCGGTCCTACCACCAGGGGGCGCCGAAGCAGAAAGCCTGACTCCGGCCTGGACTCCTTACCGATGACCACGAGAAGGACGCCAACGACCACTTGCAGGAGCAGAGAGATGCTGATGAGGGTGATGAGGGTGCGGCATTGGACATAAAGAGAGCCACGTCCAGCATGCTCTCTGCCACGCTCTTCTTGGTGGCGTAGTGATTCAGGTTGATGGGCTGGTTCCCTCGGGCGATGGAGCGCCGGTGCTGTAAGAGATGAGGTTCTGGTAAAGACGGGGGTTTTAACACCCTTCTCCGTGCAGACAGAATGTCCTCAAGGACAACGGAAGATCTGAGGCCTGGGTTAAATAAAAAGGACACTTGCTCCAGAATGGCTGGCCCCATCCTAGCCAGCACCTCGGTCCAGAGTCCTGGAGCCTTAAGCCCACCCCAGCATACGCTGACTGCCAAACACATGTACATAGCAATGCATACTAGCTGAAAGCTCTTGATTTTAAACATTGTTTTGGAAGCCTGGGGATGTAGCTTGGTGTGCAGTGGTTCCCAGCATGCCCAGGGCCCTGGTTTCAGTTTCTGCCACTGCTGAAATCAATTAATTTTAAAAATTATTGTAAAATAAAAAATTTGGTTCTCTTTGGTTTTGTTTTGTTTTTCGAGACAGAGTTTTTCTGTGTAGCCTTGGCTGTCCTGGATCTCACTGTGTAGACCAGGCTGGCTTCAAACTCTGCCTGTGTCTGCATCCCAAGTGCTGGGATTAAAGGTGTGCGCCACCACCGACTGGCTAAATAAAATTAACTTTGAGGGATGAATTGAAGTTCTTGTTCTCCCTAACTCCAAACGATAGAAGCACAGTGGAGGCCGTATGTGAACCTCTGAGGTAGACCAAGGAAGTCAGAGGGGACACTGCTCTGTTGTCACACAAGTGCTCCTGGGAGATCAGTTTGACAATGGTGCTTGGGGCAGATTGAGAAGCGAGAAGAGACCAGAAGCAGGAAAACTCTAAACAAGTAGTGTAGTGTCACAGGGCGGGGTGCTGCGCACCTGTAATCCTCAAATAGGAAGGCAGAGGTGAGAGGAGCAGAAGTTTGAGGCCTGCCTGAGCTACATGCGACTCTGTCTCAAAACCACAAGGCCAGTGAGGTGGCTCAGTGGGTAAAAGTACTTACTGCAAGGCCTGGCAACCGAAAATCGATCCCCAGGATGTGGTGTGAGTGGGCGGATGGGCAGGTGGGTGGGCAGATACGGGAGTGGGTGGATGGAGACACTGAGGGCGAAGGTCTGAACGGGAAAGATTGACGGATGGACGAGAGGAAAGACAAGTCTCGGGGAGTTTGGACATTTCTTGGACTGAGCGCGATTCCGGCAAGCTGTTCACGTCCCTTCACACCTTCACATCACTCAGATAATTACACTCAGAGGCCATTTGAGAAGGAGAAGCCCGTGCAATCAGAACTTTGGGCTTTAAAGGAGGACCTCCCCTATCAGTGGACTGGGGGAGGGGCATGGGTAAAAAGGAGGGAGGAAGGGTGGGATTGGGAGGGCACGAGGGAGGGGGCTACAGTTGGGATACAAAGAGAATAAACTGTAATAAATAAATAAATAAATAAATAAATAAATAAATAAATAAAACATATTTTTAAAAATGAGGTCCAAGCAAGTCTCTGTGTAGGGTCAGGTGGCCTGGTTGGTTAAAAGCCGAGGATCTCAGGTCTAAGCCCACAAAGGCCAAAGGTCATATCAGACACAAGAAGCAGCTGAGGTCCTGGCTCATTGGGTAAAGGTTCATTCTGTATCACTAAGAACACCAACAGGATCGCTCACCTGATAACTGATTCCCCTCCGCTGGAGAGCCCCTCCTCATCCTCCAGAACCTTGTTCCTCCTTCCAAATTCAGCTCACACATGGTTCAAGAGCTGATAAGCCAGGGCTACCTTTAAAATCTTGCAGGCCAGGCCTGAATTCAGACCTCTAGCCATGTGTTTAAACACTGACTGTAGGTGGGGCTAGTAGGAGAAAGGAGGACGGGGAGGAGTGAGTGGCTTGGAAACAGATCTTTGCACATCTCTCTCTCTCTCTCTGCCTCCCTCACCCCCTCCCGTGTGTGTGTGTGTGTGTGTGTGTGTGTGTGTGTGTGTGTGTGCGCATTACCAGGCCTTACACACGCACATCTTACATTCTGCCATTAAGCCCCATCTCCAGCCTCTCTGCCTTTGGTCGCTGTTTCTTTAAGAGCCTGTTTTACAGAGGATGTAGGGTTCACTGTGGGTTAAGGAGGTGCAGGTCTCTCTGAATTCAGGTCTCGGTTTCATTTCTTTCATTTTGCTGTTACTGAACTACTCTCCCCAAAGGCCAGTTCTCCTGTGTCCACAGGGTGGCGTTTGGGCACTGGGTGTCAGGCTGATATTTGGGCCCCAAGGAAGTACACATAGGACAAGCCTGGATTGCGAAGCCTGAGGACCCAGGCCTGAAGGCAACACGAGTGACAGCCTAGAACTTACCAGGCACGACTGTTAAGGGCCAGTTAAAGAAAGGCAACAGTAGCCGAACCTGGCGAGATTGCCTGCGATGCCAGCTCACGGGAGGCTGAGGCAGGAGGACTGTGAGTTTCTGGCCAACCTGGGCCGTACAGAAAGACACCAAACCGAAACAAAGAACTATAAAGCTATATGCAGCAGGTGGGAGAGGGGTGGCAGAGGACTCCCAGGTGAGAACGACAGTAGAGCTGCAGCCTGGGGAGGAAGGAGGGGTCAGAGGGGGCTGCTGTGAGACCCTGGAGGAAGTGGCTTTGAAGAGGGTCTCTTCGGATCTTTGCAACCCCAGCGTCTCCCGGCTAGGCCTGAGGATGGGATTGGCCATTCTCCTAAACCAGCCCTTCTCAGCCTTCCTAATCAATGACCCTTTAATACAGTTCCTCATGTTGTGGGGAGGTCCCCCACAACATGACCCCCGCCCAGCCATGAGATTATTTTTGTTGCTACTTCATAACTGTCATTTTGCTACTGTTACGAATATTTTTCTGACATAGGGGTCGCGACCCACAGGTTGAGAACAGCTTCCCTGGCATCCTATTCTCCTTTCCCTACCCCCAAGCCTACTAACAACTCCATCAGGGATCTGGACGAAAGAGGGGCATCAATGGTGGCAGGGTGGTGCCTCAGCAGATCTGGCCCTTTAAGGCCATAGCCCAGGCGGGTCAGAACAAAGGCCCGGGAATGTGGGCTGGATCAGGGAGCAGAGCCATCCAGCATGAGTCATTCCTGTTTCACAGACTTAGAATCCCTGGCTCCTACTTGCCTTGGCCTCTCCCTTGGGCTAAGGGGCAGCATGCAGGGCGTCTGCAGAGCTTGCACCAGGGGGCTGGAGGCTCCCATCCAGCTCAAACCCTGCTAGGGAGGAGGCCCATGAGCCTGGGCTCCTGGCTCTGGGGTTCAGTTCTACCAGGGCGTGGCACCCAGTTTCCTATCTGTACAACGGGAGGAGAACCAGGCCGCTGGAGGAGTCGGACTGGAGAGGTGGACTGACTCTTCCCCAGAAGTAAAGGCAGAATCCAAGCTGTTCTCTTCTTTTCCTAGGCTGAGCCCTGTCACACAATGTCGAGTCAGGGCCTGCCTGCCTCAATCCTTTCCTTTCACTCAGTAACAGTGGGGCCCTGAGTCCGAGCCTGAGGTCCAGGAGCAGGGGGCCGCAGAGGGAGCAGGGGATAAGCCCAGAGGTTCGTTCTGGGGCCCAGAGTACCTCCAGGACTTGGCAGGATGTGGGGCTGGAGACTGGGAAGGGTAGGCGAGGGATGAGCATACCAAAGATCTAATTTCCTTCTCTTGCCTCACCTTCCCCATTCCAGCTTACCATTCCCTTAACCCCCTTGCCAGGCCCCACCCAACTCCCAAGACTGGGGATCCCACCCCTTCAAGTCAGCTCGATATTCAGCCCTTCATCTTTGTTATCCCTTATTCCTGCTTCTTTACGAAACTAGGGTGAGCAGGAAGGGACGGCCTCTGTTAACAGAAAAGCAAACATGACGTCACGTTGTTTATTGACACTCTGGTTATCAGGGACCATCGTGTCCAAGGGCTCATCCTGCTTTTTCTTAGAAACAAGATTCCAGGGATGCTGTCTCACGGTGAGAGTGTGTGTCGTGGAAGGTGGAAAAGTAACTGTTCTAGCAATCGGCTACAGAGGAGCTAACTCCCAGAACCGTGGGCACTGAAAGGAGGTGCAAGCCCAGGAAGATGAAGGTAGAGACCTGGATCCCGTCCCTGCTTTGCCAAGCTGAAGGGTGAGCAGGACGGCTCTCCCTCCCTGCCCTTGTCTGTACAAACAAGGAGCTGAGTTCTTTTTAGCAGAGCCATCTAAGAAAGGACCCCCCCCCCCTGCTCTGGGTGGAGAGTCTCAGGGTTGAGGATCTTCAATGAGAGGAATTGAGGTCAGGCAGCTGCAGGGTAGAGGCCATGAATCACTTTTGCCCCATGCAGCTCCAGGCGCTGGTGACCTTTGGGTGAGTCACGCCTGTCAGTTTTGAGAAAAGCCACTCGGGCAGTCTGTGTGTCAGCTCAAACCCAAGTCATACACAGAGTAGGTCCAAAGGAGCTGTGACCAATGAGGACCTTTCTGTTGGCCTTAAAAATGGCCATCTAAGTAGGAATGCCAGGAGCACCTGGAAAATGCGTGGTGAGTCCCGGGCTTCCACAGGCTAATTTCCCACCCCGGGAAAGGGTGGTCCAGCCCACAGTGGTTTAAATGGTGACTTCAGGAGAGTTATCCTATGAACTGGTTTTTCGAAGGTGTTAGGGTGCTCTGCTGCCCTGTCCGGGTCCACTTGGGAGGGTGATGTGTTGCACACACACTGGAACCATCATCCTGGAACCACGTAGCTCATGGCAATGGAGGACATGCCTGTCATCCTGGCACAGTGTTAAACACGGGGCATGAGTCAGCCCGGTCTTCGCCTCACTCTGCTAGCTCTGCAAAGCAGGTGAGAGCACCACCGCCTAGCGAGCAGAATACAGAGGGCCCCAAAGCACACAGCAGGGCAACCCCCTCCCGGTACTGGAGTCTGTAATTTAACCCCTCCCCTACAATGTCCCAGAAGCTAAAACATGCTCAGGACCTAACGATAAACACACGAATGACGGATAGGGGCACACGTCTGCAATCCAAGCACTCAGGAGCCTGAGGTAAGAGGACAGCCTGGGAAAGGCCGAAACAAAACAAAGAGCCCTACAGGTCAAATATGTGGTGCAAGATGA